CGTGCTTATATTTAATTAATATGTTATCTGTCATTTTCTATTCCAGAATAGATAACAATAATCGCCCGTTCTTTTATATGTGGTTAACAAATCGCTGGCTTTCAGTCCGTTTCGGTATTGCTAGTTCATTCGTTTCATTTTTAGCTGGAATTTTCATTTTATGGAATCTTGACCAAATTGATGCTGGTTTGGCTGGTTTGTCTTTGTCATTTGCAATGAATTTCACACAGCAAATAACGTGGACTGTTAGAAGATATACTTCACTTGAAATGAGTTTAAATGCTGTTGAAAGAGTAAGCGAGCTTTCGGAAATTCCTCAAGAAGCTCTAGCTATAATTGAACCAAGACCACCTGCTTGTTGGCCACATAGTGGCGCAATCACGGTACAAAACCTGGAAGTTAAATATGCTCCTGATTTAGAGCCGGTATTACATCACATTTCATTCAATGTAGAAGGTCAAGAAAAAATAGGAATTGTTGGACGCACTGGGTCTGGAAAGTCAACAATGGCATTGACTTTGTTTCGGTTCGTGGAACCATCAGATGGAAGAATTTTAGTTGATGAAATTGATATTTCATCGATCGGTGTCGAAGATCTTCGGTCAAGAATAACTATAATTCCACAGGATCCTATACTATTTACAGGTAATCTTGGTCAGAGATCAACTATTGTTTATCTTTTTGCTAATAAAATAATAATGCAACATTATTAGGTACAATACGGTCAAACCTTGACGCATTTTCTCAATATGAGGATAGTGAAATATTGGAATCCCTGCGACGTGTTCATTTAATTCCTTCTGTAGAGGATGTAGAAGCTATCTCATTTTCAGAGGATAATATCAATTTATTTAAAAATTTAGATACACCTGTAAGTGAAGGTGGAAAAAATTTTAGTCAAGGTCAGAGGCAATTATTATGTCTGACTCGAGCTTTATTAAAAAGTTCAAAAATTATATTGATGGATGAAGCCACTGCAAGGTAATATTTATAATCTCGTTTTAAAATATTAATTCAGTGTATCAGTTCATTTATTTCATCTTTTTTTAATTATTAGTATTGATTTTGCTATGGATGAAAAGATTCAAAAAATGATAAGAAC